GAAGGAAAGAGAGGAAATTCATCCACTCTGGTTTAAAATGGCTTCCCAGGCTTGAGAAAGAAGTGGGGGGAAGGAAAGGGAGAAAATTCATCCACTCTGGTTTAAAATGGCTTCCCAGGCTTGAGACAGAAGTGGGGGGAGAGGAAAGGGAGGAAATTCATCCACTCTGGTTTAAAATGGCTTCCCAGGCTTGAGACAGAAGCGAGGGGAGAGGAAAGGGAGGAAATTCATCCACTCTGGTTTAAAATGGCTTCCCAGGCTTGAGACACAAGCAGGGGAGAGGAAAGGGAGGAAATTCATCCACTCTGGTTTAAAACGGCTTCCCAGGCTTGAGACACAAGTGGGGGAGAGGAAAGGGAGGAAATTCATCCACTCTGGTTTAAAATGGCTTCCCAGGCTTGAGACACAAGCAGGGGAGAGGAAAGGGAGGAAATTCATCCACTCTGGTTTAAAATGGCTTCCCAGGCTTGAGACACAAGCAGGGGAGAGGAAAGGGAGGAAATTCATCCACTCTGGTTTAAAACGGCTTCTCTGGCTTGAGCCGAGGCCAGGGACCAGAAGCGGGGAAAAGTTGAATAATTTCCGACTCACTGCTTCATTACAGAAATGGTGGAAAAAGCTTTGGAAGGGCAAAGAGACTTGAGGTTTCCTTAAAAACTTCGAAATCGCTTCAAAAAGCAAATATTTCCGAATTTATTCTGAATTACGAAGATTCCAACCGAACCTAACCATGCCTAGTGTATGAATATGAGCACCAATGGAAACTAAGTGTAAGCAAGATATTGTAAAGTTGAAACAATGAAAAATATTGGTGTTTTTTTTAAATTAATGAATGTCATGTTTAGGCGCAGGTCCCATTTCCAAGATATCTATCTATCTATCTATCTATCTATCTATCTATACATACATACATACATACATACATACATACATACAGAATATGAAAATGCAAGTACTCCCAACTCTGAAAAATCCAAAACACTTCTGCTCCAAAGCTCCTCAAAGAAAAAACTGATCATTTTTCTGCCCACTTCTCTTCAGACAATTGATTTGAAGGAGGCACATTCTCTAGCTACTTGGTTCCAGATAAATAATTTCTCATTGAGAACTAATGGCTAGAAATTGGTATTAGTCTGTATGAAATTCTAGAATAATGCAAACCAAGCTCCTTGATCCAAAGTTGGTAGGAAATAGAAGACCAGGGTAAGGTCTGAGCACAAGGCATAATTAATCAAATCAGAATGCAGCCATTATATTGTGGGGGAGTGCAGGGGAGAATAGAAAAGATGTTCTGTTTCAAGTAAATTCAATCAGGATCTCCAAAGACGTAAGCAGCATAATTTTTTCAGATTTGATTTCCTGTGTTTTATACTTAATGGATTTGTGGTGACAAGGATTAACCATAACCATTACAAATAACATGGTCCAAGCCTACCATTTATTGTAGAAATTGTTTCCTCCTTGCAGCTTCAATTAAGTGAAAGGAGTTCTGTGCATTTATTCGAGGGGTGTGAGTGTGTTGTAATGTACAGTAATTACTGCTTAGCAGAATGTACAGTTTTACTCAAACCCTATGGTTAAAAATGTACCATCTATCTAAAATTGGATCGAGAGCGGGAAAGAGAGAAGCAAAAACAACACATTTTCTCTGTGTACTCATATTTCACATTTTTATCAACCAAAAATGACTGAAAGTTTATACAAAAATCAAACAAAAATACTCTTTATTTATTTATTTATTTATTTATTTATTTTCTTTATTTATATACCGCAGTTTCTCAGCCCGTAGGCGACTCAACGCGGTTGAGTCGCCTGGTAACTAACTGGTAACTAACTACAAGTTGAATCTCAGTATGTTTTAAAGCACTATTTTATCATACACGCCTTCTTATTTTCTTCCTTTTTTATTTCTCTTACTTTTTGCTGGCATGGATTCTGTGCTGGTACGGCTGTACCAGGAGCTACAACTTTATTTTCTTTCTGTTATCTGTTTTGCAGTCATAGGGTTAGCCTCCTGTCCATCATAATTAAGCTTTGGTTCCGCCCCTTGTTCTGGGCTCTGGGAGGGAAAGGAGCCATTTTTTGGGCAGTCTC